AGCAGGACTATTCATGTGAATAAAGTTGAGCTTTTGCCTAAGGGTCTGGACCTGTATACATATGTGCAGAACTGCCTGATCTTGTATTCCTCCAATACTCAAAATTCCCTTTGAGAGATTGTGTAGGTTGTAGCCATGTTGGTCTAAGGACACTGGCAGACAAGGTTCTTTGGGTGAAACTGATATCTTTTATTAGACCAACTTAAGTAGTTGGAAAAATTTTTTTAGCAAGCTTATGGGTTTAAAAACCCTTTGTCAGGCTGAGGAAGTTTCTGCAGTTGGTGTGTGCTCTTCCATCCAGAAAGAAGCTCTATGTACGCTCTCTTCCATCCAGGAAGGTCATCTAGTCCTTCCAGGAAGAGCGCACCCCAACTGCAGAGACTTCCTCAACCTGATGAAGGGCTTTTAAACCCAAAGCTTTCTAAATTTTTTCCCAGCTATTTAAGTTGGTTTAATAAAAGATATCAGATTCACCCAAAGAACCTTGTTTGCCTTTGAGAGTTTTGCTTTCTCAACCACTGGAAGGCAAATGCATCTGAGATAGGACATGTAGCCTTTATACATGGGTGTCAAAATAACTACACAAAATTTAGTGCCAAGAAATGATTAAGTATGTTATCAAACAAAAAAACCCCAAGAATATTTAGATATATGGGGTATAATTATTCTTATGTGGATGTGCCCAGAACACTTAGAAGAACAGAGATAATATCAGTACAGTAAAATCTGGATTCTTTGCAGAATTATATTCCTTACCATGATGACAGTGTGAAGTATCCAAGGTATACAGAGATGCTGAGATATTCCAACTGTCCTCTGCAGTTTTTATTTCCAAGGGTGCCACTTCTCCAGCTGGCTGCCTAGGACTGTTGCCATGCTCCAGCCAAGTGGAGAAGTGGCATCTTTGAAGTAAAAGCTGCAGTAAGCAGCTGACTGGCACTTCCTTAATTAGGCAGCTCACTGAGAACTGAGTGGGTTGGGAAGCACCCTGTTATGAAAATCCAGATTCTACTATAGTAGTTAGTGATATGTAAATACAATATTTTAGGTGCATAAGATATTGGACTGATTTTCCAGTTTTTCAAGACTTTTTGAATTTAGCCATATTAGAGTATCAGAAAATACTCGCTCCAGGGCTCTGTAGCTTATAATGGTCCTTGATTAAACTCCTAACTTGCCCCAATTCAGAACTTTACTGCTTCTCCCTGGTCAACAATGAGGCTGAGCCACAGGAAAATAACCTTCTGCAGGGTGCATTGTTGATCTATCTTCAGGCATCCTATTACCTGCCTGACCCTCTGAGATAAGGGGAATTGTACTGCATTTACTCTACTTGTTTTTTCAGTCTCTCATAGTTCTTTCCACACATTATTTTCCATTCCTAGCCTAAACATTTGCTGTAATCATTTATTTTGCAAGGGTATTTAGCAGTCTTCCTTCTTCATCAGTAAGTGTCCAGGTCTCACACATAAAACAGTAGAGCCTATACTGGTCTTTTACATCTGCAGTTTGGTCTCTCAGTAACTGTCTGGAGCTACAGCTTCTCTGTAGAGAAAAGTAACAGACATTCCTACTCCATATCTACTCCTTAATTTCCTCCATCAAATTGCTATTAGTAATTAATGCTCCTAAGTATTGAAAATATCTATCTGACTATTACTGTTAGGTAAGTTTTACCAAGGTCATCTTGTCAATTCATAAACATGTATTTGGTTTTATCTTCATTCATTCTAAGTGCTGTTTTTCCTCATATTTCTTTCATGTCCATCCATACTTACGTACCATCTATCTTTCCTATGGTAACCACATCATCAGCATATTCAAGAAAAGGTTTTGCAGATCATTTAAATCCATCCCATCCTATGAATTCCATGATTGTACCACTTTTTCTATAGTTATAATAAACATTATTGAGAACAGTGCATTTCCATTTCTTAAACATATAACCGTCATTTAGTAATTATATTTAAACATAAATAACACACCTTAGCCTGACGAAGGGTTTTTGAACCTGAAAGTTTGCTTAATAACTATTCTCCAACTATTCGGGTTGGTCTAATAAAAGATATCAAATTCGCCCAAGGAACCTTGTCTGCCTAAATAACACACATACACTCAAGCACATAGAATGTGAGAATAGTACATATACTGCATTTCAAATAATTGAAAATGAGAAAAATGTTAATTTAAGAAGCCAAAAGTTTGAATTAATTTAATTTTTTCCATAAATCTTTTTGTATAATTGCTTCAATTTTTTAATTAAAAATGAGGCAAAATACTATTTCTAAAAAAAATGCAATTCCCTCACACTCAGCTACAGTTTTCCAGTATCAGCCTATTGTGTAGATTACAGCTGGTCAGAGAATCTCTGCTGAACTATAATTTCTATGACAAGTAGAAAACAGTTTTAATTTTTTTTTTCAGAAACATTTTTCATTTGCCAATTACCTCTACTGCAAATACACTGGAAGAAAATGTGGTTTACAAATCATGGAGAAAATGTATTTTACAAATCATAGAGAAAATGTATTAGCAATATTCTTTTAACAGTTCGAACTGCTTTACTTTGCTGCTCTACAAATGAAGAGAATAAATGAATTTATCCTAATAAAGGTCATATGAAAAACTAAGATTTTGAGGGTAATATTTATGGTAGGTGTGTAATTCGCATTCATTATTTTTCATTTATATTGTCACACAATGTAAATATATTCCATTTAATTTTAGACTGTTGATATTTTGGGCATAGTGACAAGCTTACTGGTAAGTTATTGTTTTACTAGATCAAGACTCTATTGGATTCTTCAAAGGAGCTCCTCCAAAAGGCATCAGCTGATAATCTTCCCTATGACTTCTCACAGAGTCAATGATACTTAGAAAACTCTTAGGAAAAAAAATATTTAAAGGAGTCCCCAACTATCCTTGTTTGTATGTCCATATCTCTTCATTGCACCACTGGCATGATACAGGAGGTTCAAGACATGATATGACTGGAACTGGAAGAAATGTTTGTGGATTGTGGTGCCCTGAAGTAGTCTGAGCCTTTGTTCTACATGGCTCTTATCTTTTCTGTTTGGGAGACTCCAGAGAGCAGTACTGGACAACTGCTCATGTGCATTAAAGGTTTTTTCCATATAAGGCTCTATAGGGTTCTATTACATCTATGTTATTCACTGTGGCCACTAGGAGGTTTGGCAAGGAGGCATGGAGTTCAGTTTTCCAGGATACTCAGTTCTGTATTTCCATTTATTTCCAGTCCACTGCTGCAGTTGAGAGACTGTCTAATATAGGTAGAGCATGGATGAGAGCTAATCAGTTGAGACTCACACTGAATAAGGATGAAATGATGTTTAAAGGGTAGGTGAAGCAACTGCGAGGACTGATGACAGTTATAGCACCCTAAGCAATGAATTATGTTTAGCATTTGTTGCTTAGGTTTACAGCCTAGAGTTTGTGGATTACCCACTTCTTCATGACCGTTGATACCCTACTTGTTGCTGAGAGCACCTGTTACTGTGGCAAGCTTGACTAAAGCATACTGGTCTTTCCTCCTGGACATAGACTTCACCACAATCTCCTGTGATAGGGGAGTGGAGGCAAGTTTGCTTTGGATGACAGGGAGGTCTAGATGTTCTTTGTGATGTATTATGTGCTATCAGGATTATGTGGTACCTGAGCTTTCAGCATAAATCTTAACATAACTCAATAAAATAAAAAGTAAATTAATTTAATGAGGTCATTGGGTTCCCCTGAATTTAAGGAGTCTGCAGTTAAAAAACAGACTAAACAGGTAAAATTTAAGTGCTATCAAATTCTGCAGGGATTTTGCCATTGATGTCAATGGGGTCCACATTTTATCTGTCATACAGTCTTTTTTTTAGCTCTTGCGAAGTTGATGGGAGCATCTAATGCCCCCAGTAGCAATCCTGAAGTTGACAGCCTGCTTTTGGAGCTTTAAAATTGATGGCTCCTTCATAGTTTCATAAGGCATGTACTTAAAGGGAATGTAATTACTTTAAAAAGTAGACAGTGTGGGCTGAAAATCTATGTGCACTTAACCAATATGCAGATAACCAGATTTTATTAGGATATGAACAATAGGCAACAAATTAAGACTGGCACTATGTTATGCAGTTAAGCAAATTATATGTTTATAATTATATGGGATAGGCATATAAATAGTCTACACTGTGTCTACAGAGGTAACAATAATATCTATCACCAGCTGTATTTGATTTTCACATCTTTAGCAGCAGAGAGTCATTTATTTGAAATTTTGGATCTTCTGGTGTTTCTACAGTGGACAAGTGCGGTTTATATGCTTATATACTAAAGATGAAGTAAGGCTACAAATGTTGTATGCAGATTTGGGTCCAGATTTTGAACGCCTCGTAACATTTGTGCTTGCTTGTCTGCACGGAGCATTACATCTGAAAGGAATGTGTGTGAATGGGATGGCTTCTTCAGCAATGCATATGCATTACAGATGTGCCGGTACAAGGCCAAAACTATACATGGGTCTGAATTGTGTGATTGGGACATGTATGTGCATTATATATGTTTATGTCCCTACTGTGACATGCAGCCCTAAATACATATTTGGCCCTCTATGAGCCCATCTAATATGTATTTAGGACGGACTGTCACAATTGAGACATGCATATGTGTGTGTGTGCACGTCTCAGTTGTGAGTCAGCCCATAATACATATAAGATGGGTTCTTAGAGGGCTGAATACACACATACACACACACATCCCCCCCAGTCCCAAAAAGCGATCTCAAATAAAGACTTGACTTATACACACACACGCGCGCACACACATATATATGCACATGCCAATCATGACATCTAGTCCTAAATACATATTAGATAGGTTCACAGAGGGGCAAATATACATATATGTATACACAGACACCTCAGTCCTGAAAAGCAGATTCAAATAAAGACTCATCCCTATAGAAACACATCCCTAAAAGATGACCAGTGATGAGGAACTCTTTCTTTTTCAGGACTGATTATTTTCCTACTTGTCTACTCAGTTAAGGGCCATTTCAACTTGACAAATATATTTTTAGGGCCTTTTTTCCTTGTCTTGTCTGTAAAGCACAATGACCTTGTCTTGGGCATATAAGGGTTGGGGGTGGGAATTGTCTCAACAATCATTCAAAATAGCAACATGAATCAAAGTTCATGTCCAAATGTCTACTCTACTCAATTGTGCTCCCAGGGAAGGAATCATAGAAAATGAGAGCTGGAAGGGACCTCAGTAGGTCATCTAGTCCAAGCCCCTGCTCAAAGCAGGACCATCCTGAAGGAGATCATTCTAGCCAGGGCTTTATTGAGCCAGGTCTTAAAAACCTCCAAGGATGGAGATTTCACCACCTCTCTGGGCAACCTGTTCCAGTGCTTCACCACCCTCTTAGTGAGAGAGTTCTTCCTCATGTCTAAACTAAACGTCCCTTGCTGCAATTTGAGACCATTGCTCCTTGCTCTGTCATCTGCCACCACTGAGAACAGTCTAGCTCCATCCTCTTTGGAACCCCCCTCAGGTAGTTAAAGGCTGCTATCAAATCCCCCCTCTGTTTTCTCTTCTGCAGACTAATAACCCTCCCCACTATTAAGATCACGTTCAATGTGAAGGAAGAAGGATTTTACAGAGGGGCAGGGAGATGAGGACAGAGAGACAGACCAGCACATTAGAGTTTTTAAGACCTGACTAGACAAAGCCTTGGCTGGGATGATCTAACGGGGCCTGGTCCTGCTTTGAGCAGGGGGTTGGATGAGATGCCCTCCTGGGGTCCCTTCCAGCCCCCATTTTCTGGGATTCTGTGGGAGCATCTATATGAGATGCTTACTGCACAGTAGTCTAGTAAGACTGTGCAGTAGCATACCAGTCAAAAATTGTCCTAATAAGTTCCTGCACAGTGTTAAATTAGGCTACTGCATAGTAAGCATCACAAAAAACTGATGTGCCAGTGCTACTGTGCACTAACTAGTTACTGCGCATTTAGTTAGTACTGCATTAAGCAAGTACTAAATTAAATGTGCAGTAACTACTGGCAGGCAAGGTTCTTCGGGTAGATGTGATATCTTTTATTCGACCAACTACATAGTTGGAAAAATTGTTCTTTGCAAGCTTTCAGGCACAAACACCCTTCTTCAGGCATAGGGCATCTGTGCCTGAAAACTTGCAAAGAACATTTTTTCCAAGTATGTAGTTATTCTAATAAAGACATCACATATACCCAAAGAACCTTGTCTGCCTATGTCCGTAGACCAACACAGCTAACTAGCTAACAACCCAGTAACTACTGTAGTCTCCCAATGCCTGAAGAAGGGTGTTTGTGTCCAAAAGCTTGCAAAAAACAATTTTCCTGACCATCTAGTTGGTCTAATAAAAGATACCACATCTACCCAAAGAACCTTGTCTGCCTGTGTCCTTAGACCAACATGGTTACAACCAACAACCCAGTAACTACAGCAGTCTTCCAATTCCTGAAGAAGGGTGGTTGTGCCTGAAAGTAGGGGCGTCATCGCAGAGGACAGTCCAGTTGTCCTCTGTCCTCTATCGAGATGAAACCCGACACCCGTATGTCCTCTATTTTTCTCTTCAAGAGAAGAGGCGTTGGGTTTCGTCTCGATAGAGGACAGAGTAGCAGAAAAGAACAATTTTTTTCTGACTATTTAGTTGGTCTAATAAAAGATATCACATCTACCCAAAGAACCCTGCCTGCCTGTGTCTGTACACATAGACCAACACAGCTACGGCCACCAACCCCGTAACTACTGCAGTCTCCCCATGCCTGAAGAAGGGTGCTTGTGCCCGAAAGCTTGCAAAGGACTTCCTCCCAGTGGCCTAGTAAAAGATCCACACAAAAAAAGACATACAAAAAACCTATTCCTCTTGGTTCCCACCATGATACCTTTTATTAGACCAAGTGGGAAGTCGCAAGCCTGATACAAGGTGCGCACCCCGCACCCTAGCCGCAGAGCCCCGCCTGGCGGCGCGGACTGCGCAGCACTGAGCACGGTGTCCTGCCCTAAGGGCGCTGTGCCTGCACCTGCCATCAGCTCGCGGCTGGGCGGCGTTCACCCAGCAGCCCCCAGCCAGCCCCGGCATGCGGGGACACACACACAGTTTTGCCCTTCCCTCTTTTTTTTTTTTCTCTGTAATTTTTTTGCCCGCTCTCTGCACAAGGGCCCCAGCCCCAGCGCATCCCGGGCGCGCACGCTTCTCGGCGCTGCTGGCTCTTTGCAGAGGAGCCCTCAGCTGCTCCCCCCGACTGGGCTTTGGCTCCTCCTTTCTCAAGCTAGTCTGAGGTTGCAGGGCTGGCAAGTTGGGGGAGGGCAGGCCAGGCAGGGAAAGTAAAGTGGGAGCCCGCTGCCGCCCAGGCTGGTGCCGGTGCTGGTGCCGATGCCGATGCCCCCCCGCGCGCCCTTGCCGGGGGCCCGCGCGAGCCCCGCGGGGCGCTGCCCGGCGCCGAGATGCCCGCGCTGCTGAAGCGCTGAGCGCTCCCGCCCGGCCCGGCCCGGCCCCGGGGTGCCGGGGGCAGGCTGGCGACGCCCCCGCGCCCTCCCCCGCCCCGA